ACTCCTCTTTAAAGGGCGCTGGAAACACTCCCTCCTGCAAGGATGTATTAACTATCACCTGGATCCAACTGCATGTTACCTCCCGAACTGCTTTTACCAGCCAGGAGGGGCATGGGTCAAGATGACAAGTGGTGGCCCTCACAGTCTGGAGGATCCTGTCCACTTCCTCAGGAACTACAGGATCAAACCATTCCCAGATAATTGGGCAAGAACAATCTCCTGGTATCTCCTCAGACCCTGCGCCACACTTGGAGTCCAACTTGGAACGAATCTGAGCAATTTTATCCTGCAGGTGCTCTGCAAATTCCTCCATGCGGCCCTGCAAATGAATCTCCAGGTCCCTCTTACCAAGGAAGGATCTGGTGATCCTAAACAGGGCCACCAGGCGGCACTCTGCGGATGCAATAAGGGTGGAGAAGTATTGACGCTTCGCCACTCTTATCATCACAATGTAGGCCTTAATGGTGGCTCGAACATGTGTTCGGTCGGATTCAGTCTTTGTTTTCCTCCAGTGGCGCTCTAGACGTCTCTTAACCCTCTTCAGCACCCTCAACTCCTCCGTAAACCACAGGGAGTGTCGGGGCCAATGGTGGCAAGAGAAGTCACACAGGCACGATCCTGTCCAAGGCCCCAGCTGCCTCCCTATTCCAAGCAGCAGCCAGGGCCTCCACTGGACCATGCAACAGTTATAGGGTTGGACTTACAATTTGGAGAGGTGCATCTGATCTGCATATAGGTATTCTCATATCGCATAATAATTAGTTGTAATAAACTACAGTCTACTGTAGAAGAAGCTAACTTAGCTCATAATTTCTGGCCTAGTATTGAATCAAATGCCACCTTCAAATCAATGAAGGTGGTGTAAAAAGCACCTTGAGACTTTAACTATATGTTCCAGATCAAACTGTTTAATGATACTTGAATTCTGAATCCATAACTACATTCAATTATGCTTTTTGATTGTTTGATTATATTGCTAGTTTCTTTGACCCTTGTTGAGATTCTCCATAAAGCCAGCTAATTACCCCTACTCTTCATATACTGTATTTTGAAAGATTCATTATCACTCAAAGTGACTGTATTAATTATCTGACATAAAAAGTGAATTGCTGAGTGAAAGGAAGAGTGCAGAACAGACTGCTACCTTGAAGTAATAATGGATATGTACATGGCTTGGATTATGAATGTTTCCTGGGAAAAAGGAAAGGAAAGGAAAGGAAAGGAAAGGAAAGGAAAGGAAAGGAAAGGAAAGGAAAGGAAAGGAAAGGAAAGGAAAGGAAAGGAAGAGGGAGGGGG